GCAGCAGCTTGTGTACGCAATCTCCGTTGTGGTGCGGAGTTTAACAAAGTGTGGGACAAAGGCTGCCAGCGCTACTCCGAGACCCGAAGTGTCCAAACGGAGGCGCAGAGCCAACCCGAATATGGATGGGTATGTAGTCGAGGGAACTACAGGACACAGGGATGATGACAAAACAGAACTTCAGAGACTGTACTACAGCACGATTGATTCAGTGCTTGGAGAAATGGATCAGAGATTCAGCGAGCGCAACTCGCAGTTGGACAAATCACTTGCTGCGCTGAATCTAGAAAGTGACACATTCCTTGATGCAAATGCTGTGCAGCATATTATGGACCTGTCAGGATCACCTGTAATTGAGGCAGAGTACGAAGTTGCGAAACAGTTTTTCAGCATGCAAAAACAGTCACAGTCAATTGAGGGGGATTGGACTATACAGCACATCCTCTCCAAATACCACACGCACCTTAAGGCAATGCCAAGCGTAATGACTGCTTTCAAACATGCCTTAACATTTGGCGCCTCCACAGCAATGTGCGAGAATTCATTCTCCACTCTAAGGAACGTTTTCTCGGACCATAGACGTGCAATCATCCACAAAAGAAAGGCCCAGCTGGTTCAACTTCGTTTGAGAGAGACTTAACCAGAAAATGCACAACCGAATGGAAGAACACCATTCTCTTGAGGTTCAGCACCAACACTCGCCGCTTGCAACTCTTCTGAAGGTAGACATGCTTTTAGTTTACTTAATGATGCCAGCCCTGGCTATGTTGATATTGAAAGATGTTGGGGTCTGTCTGCATTTATGCATGAAGAGTAGAGTATAGTCTATTTTAAATGACCTGTTTTCGCTTTCACCAATGCGTAATGACGCACGCGGTGCGCACAGCGCTGTGTGTGTGTGTGTGTGTGTGGGAGAGGGAGATGGAGGGAGTGCAATGTGTGTGAAAGACAAGAGACTTTACAGCATGTTTTGAAATAAATTGAAGTTGCGTTGGTGTTTGTGTGTTGGTTGTTGACGGCAGTGTGTACCCCCCCCCGTGGTAAATGATTGCCCCCCCCATTCGATTTGTTCTGGAGCCGACCCTGGTTGCTTATCTCCAGAAGGACTTTTAGCACGTTTCCAGACAGAGCTGTCAGAGCGGTTCCTCTCAGAAGAGCAGCCGCTGGGCGGAGTCACAGAAACGCTCAACTGATCTTCGCTCCCCGACTGTTAGCGCCTGTCAAAACAATGCTTTATACCGCTTTGTTTCAACCCTTGCCGTCTCGCCGTTCCCCCGTGTCCCGCCGTTCCCCCGTGTCCCGCCCTCTCTATCTTTCTGTGTCTGTTTCAGTTATTCCAGCAAGACTGCTGGTAGAACAGCATGGTAAACCAACTACACCAGCTAAAACCAGCAACCATCTCAAGCTGGTCTATGCTGGTTTTTTCAGCAGGGATATCGGAGACAGCAGAGATAATATATAGAATTCGCTAAGTGATGAAGTACTGAATAAACAGTGGCACAATCATGGATCAAACAATATGAGTCTCACTGCTTTCCTAATTTGCAAACAACATACACCTAACTTAATTCAAAACACCTTAGAGAAGCATAAAACACGACTACAGATAGATATTCAGGTCATTCTAAATATATTCATTGTTACATAATTCAAAGACCTCCGCTCTGAGCTTGAGGCCAGCCCTATCCTCCAAACTAAATTCAAAATCTATAGCACAAAAACTGGAAACCTTATGACTGATCCAGATATTGATCAGCATCAAAAGGTTATTCAGGAGCAGGATCCCAGTGACACCCATGTTGATTTCTGAGATACACACTGTGACCCCTGAGCAGCCGAGCATGGCGAACACTGGGAACTACAGCACTGGCATCTTGTGCTCCCTCGCTGTGGTTCAAAGGTTAAAAGCAGGCAGCTGCGTGAGCTCTCTGAATATGGTGTCTTTTTTTCACATTGGATCAGAAATGTATATATACTGAATGTGAAGGCGTCGC